CATTCATTCATTCATTCATTCATTCTCATAGAAGTATTCCATCAGTTTGTGAATCATCAGTCTTTGAATTTGAATTGCAACATTCATAACTGAAATAACCAAATTTCATTGGTATAGAATGACAAATAAAATCGACTTAACATTAATTAAAGCAAGTGTGTAACTTAAACTTCAAAATACTTAAAATACCTTCTGAATGTTTTATATTTACACTACCATTTAAAAGTTCTGGTTTAGTTATTTTAATGCTTTTGAAAGAAGTCTCTTAATGCTCACCAAGGCTGCATTTATTTGATCAAAAATACAGTAATATTGTGAAATATTTTAAAATAATGCAATTTAATGATGACAAAGATTGTACTGCTTAATTTGGTGGTGATTCTTTTTTCAGGATTCTTTGATGAATAGAAAGTTCAAAAGAACATAATAAATGCTGTTCTTTTATTATTATTATTTGTTTTATTTGTATTTTATCAAGTATTGATCCAAATGTTGAAAGACCTTGTAATATTTAAATATTTATTCACAGATTTGACAATTTCAAATGAATATGGTTACATAATTTTGTAATTTGCCAGCTTTATTGACACTTTTTGCTGCATGTTATTGTTTCCTGTGGTTATTGCCAGCATAACCACAGCATATATATTCTCATTCTGACGGCACCCATTCACTGCAGAGCATCCATTGGCGAGCAAGTGATGCAATGCTACATTTTTAGGCTAAACTATTTTTTAACATCTATTTGCCATTGCACAAAAGTAAAAAAAAAAAAGGAAATTCTTAAAATAATCTTCACACTAACAAAGAAAATGGTTATTTTAAGAACTGTTCATAGAAAGGGTCCCAAAATTGTTCTTCTGTGGCATTTCTACAAAAACCCCGTTTGCAACCTTTATTTTTTAGAGTGTACTTTTTTTCCATTTCCAATGCATAACTTCAAGTTCTGTTTACAAAATCACATTATTGAAATACAATGGGTTTCAAACGTTGTTTCACCTCGATTTTGCTAAAAAAAATGTCACCTTTCATACTTATTGCTTGTGATGTCATCGATCCTACAATATAAATCAACACAGATAATTTTACTGTACTGATTTTCACATCAATTAAATCACACAACATTGTACGAAAGAAAAGAAAACTTGTTTTTATTGTTTCGATCTTCCTGGATTATCATGTTTTGAGTATTTTACAACGTGTTTCTACAATAACACCTTAACATTATATTCATATTTTAATTAATTTAAAATCAAATATTTTGTACATGCTTAGGGAGGAACATTCCCTGGTCTGATGGCATAAGGATGGAGAAAGGCACATGAGTTCTTGAGTGAACACATGGTTTTGTTGTGCATTAACAATTAAGTCTGTAAATCAAGGAAAGAAAAAACTCGATAGCTAAAAGAGCTGAAACTATTGTGTCAGATTAAAGTCTATACTACTTTCTTTTTTTGTTGTTGTTTTGTAGCACTTGGGATACCCATTTAAAGTCTCAACGTGGATATTCAATTATCCAAAGCAATTCACAGCCTGAAGAAATAAGTGTTGATAATATGGCAATTGATAAGAAGTAAAACGCAAGACTTTGCCCAGAGGGGTTTGCAACTTTTCGCTTCCTCTCTCTTTGTTTATCCGCAACTCTTTTGAATATTTCTCTCGATATTTCACCAAGACAGCTCATCAGAATTCCACTCGGGAACACATGTACGCTGCAGTAAACTGGGAGTCTGTACAGTCCCGTGATGACGGCCTTCTGCTTTATCCGCTCACTCACCAGTAAATGCGTCCAAAGATAATATTTCACCTTTAGACGTCTATATTGAAAGCGTTTCACCCCGAAAGAAGTTCTTCTCGTCTGTCTCAACCCCACACTCAGGGTTTGTGTCTATGGCTGCTCTCCAGCTCAGGGAGGTTATTTTTCAGGTTGGGTGTATCTCAGTGTCTGGGGTGTTTTATCCAGTTCCGAATCATCCATTTCTGCCCTGAGCAACGCTGGACGACCAGCCGCAGGCCAAAGTTCGCATCTTTTGACATTTCAACCTCCAAACAACGTCCCGTGTCTCGACTTATGATGGGTCCATTCTAAGAAATAATTAAGAACAACTATAAATACACTTGGCATCACACACTACCTACAAAAGTTTGGGGCCAGTACGATTTTTGGTTACACTTTATTTTAAGGTGTCCTTGTTACAGTGTAAATATACGTATAAGTACTGAGTATTATTAATTAAGTACATGTACTTACTATAGGGTTATGGTTAGGATGAGGGTTTGGTTTAGGGTTAGTTGCATGCAATTATGCATAATTTACTGTTATTATAATAGTGAGTACATGAAACATGTGTAACAAGGACACCGAAAAATAAAGTATTACCAGATTTTTTTGTTTGTTTACTAATTCAATTATTCAGCAAGTACACATTAAATTGATGCATTAAGTGATAGTAAGACATACAAAATGTTACAAAAGATTTCTATTTTCTATTTCTATCAAACAAATGCTGTTCTTTGGAACTTTATATTCATACAAGAATCTCCCAAAAATATGTATCACAGTATTTTTATTTTTTTTATCAAATAACAGTAGCCTTGCTGAGCATAAGAAACCTCTTTCCAAAAAATTAACAAATCTTACAGACCCAAACATTGGTGTACATTAATAACATATATCTTAAGGGTGCTTTTTTTAAAAGAAAGAATCCAATTTAAAATATCTGATGCTTATTTTAAAAGTAATCATCTCAAGTGGAGAATCAAATATTAATATGAAGCGTTTAGCAAGCTAATAAATCAATTGTTTCGTTTGAGTGCATTCACTTACCTGAGTAAAATCCCAGAGCCTCTGGGAGGACCTGGTGACAGCATCACATTTTTTCAAGCTTGGAGCCCTTCCTCTTCCATCATCCACCAGGCATTTTGTGTCAGGCAGAAACGTAGTCGACCCCAGGGCTCCTAACTGCAATAAGCCCTCAGTGGTGTACCTCGCCAGCTGAAATAAAACACCAAGTTACAATGTGAGAAAAAGAAATATGTGATATATAAAATGAAATGGAAGGTCTTAGAAATACAGCTTATAGGCATAGTCCTCCCATAAATGAAAATGCCGTTATGATTTTCACACCCTCATGATGTTGTTCCACCTGTATGGCTTTCTTTCTTCTGTGGAACACAAAAGAATATATTTAGAAAAATGCCTTTTAAAATACTTAGAAAAGTGTCTTTTTGTCCATATAATAAATGTCAGTGCAGTCCAATCTTGTTTTGGACACCAGTGGCTTTAATTAAATGGACAAAAACAGGCGTTTTTAAGGCGTGCTTCTGGGCAAAATTCAGTCCATAATCCATAATAACACTTCCTCCAGTGAAAATTCAATCCCCTGTTGTCCTCTCATATCGCAATCCAACAACAACTTTGTTTAGAACTGTTCTGAATGGTTATCACTTGTAAAAGCTGTGCATATTTCTCTCCTGATTCAGACAACTTTTTCACTGGAGAAATCTTTATTATGGACAGAGAACTTGTATTTTAGCTGGAAACATTGGTTTCAAGTTACAGTTATTTGAATTATGAATTTGTATATTATACATTTTCGCCTCATAAGATGTTAATTGATTGGAATGGGGCCGCTGTGGATCATTGTGATGTTTTTATCAGCTGTTTATCAGTCTCATTCTGACGGCACCCATTCACTGCACTGCAGAGGATCCACTGCTGAGCAAGTGGTGGAATGCTACAATTCTCCAAATCTGATGAAGAAACAAACTCATCTACATCTTTGATATCCTGAGGGTGAGTACATTTCCAGCAAATTTCCATTTTTTTGGTGAACTATTCCTTTAAGAACACTCCGACAGATATAGGCAGTTCTTAGCTGTATGATTAAGAGCACCACAACACTATACACAAACTATCGAGAGAGATGGAAGTCTAGATAGCAGCTATCTATTACGGTAAGTACACGGCACTGAATAACACAGGTCAATAATTCAGCTGAAAGTCAATCTCTTAGATATCAGATCCCAAGGTCGGCACATCACAATGAAGTACAAGTACTGACATTCAATGAAAATCAAGCTCGCTCTATTGAGTAAAGTTAATCTATAGAACCGAGGGTAATTGCCCAGTCACCAAGGTGAAAACAGCAGGAGGACAATAGCGTGAGCTCATCTTCATGCGTACTGTAACCTGATTCCAGCTCTCATAGCGGCCATGCATTCACTAAGATGATGTACCACATTGAGGACAAAGAAAGGATTTTTCAGTAAAACAATAACAAGTAGACACACTGTTTGAATGCATGGCAATCAGACTGAATAAAAACAAAATTCAAGAATGATATATAATATAATCACTAGTTTTATTTTTTTTTGTATTCATGAAAATTATAAAAGAGTTCTTCAACCTCGCACAGCAATACACACAAAACACTTTGCATTGAATTTGCAAGGCTATAACCAATATTTGTAATATTAATTTAAACAAATAAATGCATGAAAATAAATCAATGTAATGGTTGATTATTCCCAGGGCTTCAATGACACAGTGGCCATGAATCATTCCTGTTTTTAATTTGTGGTTACGCAAGGAGATGAAAAAAAGTTGGAAAAAAATTAAGCTTAGCTGTATCATGTAAAACCAGCTTTTATTGTAATTTGATGATACAATGAGAATATACTTCAATTGCTTTATTTCCCTTAGGCCTGGATTATGGACTAAGACTGTCATTCCCTTACAAGATTTAGGAGGGAGGAAGAGAGAACGAGGCGGAGACAGAGACTGTATTTTAAATTGTTCAAAGGATCATGTCTCTATTGTGTATGAATGACAAGGAAAAGGTCAAATCACGCTGTCAAAGGTCATAGCCCGGTAGGAGAACTGTTTGATAATCCCACATCCATTTAATTCGAATGAATAAAAATGTTAGATGTCAAAGTCACATAAACTGATGACTTATAACAACTATTTTGCAAGGGGAGGCAGTTATGAAAGGACAGGACACAGAAACTGAGATACAATCTACAGGTAATTTCAACCTGAGCTGCTCTCTGTCTCCAGGCAATGATGCAATGCACCACCAATGTGAAAAAAGTGTACACTGAGGTTGACAACATGTGCTTCAATTACAAATCTAATTTAATTCTCACAATTCACATCAATATGCGCTGGTGATTTTTTTTCCCCTCCAGACTGCTGCATGTGTCAATCTTGATGGGGTCATTTATCTTTGCGAACGTGGCATATTCTTGGCTCCCTGTCCTTGCATTTGCATGTAACAAGATTTTTGCTGTCTGCTCGGGATACAAATGTAATGTAAATGCAATGATGTAACCACAAGAAGATTGAGAGGCGTTTATCTGTGTGTGTGTATATTTTCTATTGAAATACTGAAATATATTTGTTTTTTCCTGTAATGCTGAAGTTGAATTTTCAGCATCATTACTCCAGTCTTCAGTGTCACATGATCCTTCACAAATCATTGTAATATACTGATTTGGTGATCATGAAGTATTTATTAATATTATTATATTTGTAGAAACAGTGACACATTTTTTCAATATTCTTTGCTAAATAGAAAGTTCAAAAGAACAGCATTTAATTGAAATATAAATATTTTGTAACAATGTAAAGTCTTTACTTTCAACTTTGATCAATTTAAAGGGGTAATATGATGCGATTACAAGCTGTTCGTGAATATATAAGATCCGTAAAGTTGCAAAGACTAAAGTCTCAAACCCAAAGACATATTCTTTATAAAAGTTAAAACTCGTCCACGCCTTCCTGAAACGCCTCATTCAAACACGCCCCCACAAAATGTACGTCACTGTGTGGGAAGATTTGCATAACACCGCCCGAATGTTTTATGTTAAATGTTTTATTCTCGCTTTAGTATTGTTGTCGTGGAGACGCTGTGTGTTTCCAAATATGGTAAGGAGCGTGACATTTCCGTCACATGCTTGAGCTATTCGGCCAATCACAACGCACTGGATAGCTGGCCAATCAGAGCACACCTCGCTTTTCAGAACAATATGCTTTGTAAAAATCAGTGTGTTTCAGAAAGGCGGGGCAGAGAGGAGCAACAATAATGTACGGTATCTGGAAAATAATGTTTTTTTTTTTTACCTTAAACCATGTCAACACATTGTATTACACCAAACACACAAAATAACGTTATTTTCAGCAACGTCATATGGCCACTTTAAATAAAATAAAATGAAATTATATTACAAATTATAAATTACAAAAAATAACAAGTAAATATATAGAAAATTAAAGTAAATATATAAAGTAAACATAGAAAAAAAACGTGCTGGCCCCAAACCTGTGATGTAATTATACTAATAAAAAGCTAGAAACACACACTAACCTGCGATGACATGCCATGACATGGGTAGAGAATAGCCCTGTCATCCTCCTCTGACCCCTGATCAAGGCAATATCCACTGGCTTTACTGTTTCGCACCTAAAACAATAAGTAAACAATAATAAACACAGGCAGGCAAATCATGACACATGAAGAGTGAGCACACTGTGTACTATTAAGTTGCCCAGTTTAGCTTATAGCATTAGTGCTGCTCTGAATGTCAAACATAAATGCATGCACACATGCTTTGTCAAATCCATTTGAGAGATGAGAATATTGACCGTCCATAAAACCTAATACTGGACAGAGGATGAGATATGTGGAATCTGTGGTCTAGCAGGCATATTTTCAGAGACAAACTATTCCAATATAGCTATAGATTTTCCGCCCCTGCAGTTCCAGAGATCAATGTACAAATGCAGGTGTCCTTTTTTTCCTTCAATAAATTCAAAATACTGTAAGATTCCTCTTCTATTGAGATTTAGGCATGTTAAATTCTAACACACACTCACACAAGAGTGCATGCACGCACACACACACACACGCACG